GAGAGAGAGAGAGAGAGAGAGAGAGAGAGAGAGAGAAAGAGATCAATCCATAGCTATTTCCGCTTCCCTAAACAATTAAAGCATAGCTGAGGAGGGGCTTAGCATAGTTCAGGAAGGCTCACCATCAAGAAATCATCTTGAAATTTCTCTGACTCGATGGCAGGCAATCTTCTCAGAAGGCTAGAAACTTGTCTCAACAATGAGTTCTCATGTGGAATTTCACCTGCATGTCCATACAGTTTAATAAGAATAAGCATCAAGACACCCTCGTCTACTCGTCTATTGCAATTTCAAGTTTTTAAACGTCTTATTCATTCAAGACCTACAGTTTCAACAAGAGAAAAAAAAGGTCAAGGTCAAGTCTTGTGGAGTCATAAGGTTTAGATTTTTTGGTGCTTATGAATATACAAGTATGGATGATAAAATTCACCTCTTTGCATAGCCAGGAGAAACTGGTGGAGAATCCTGATTCTGCTGTTGAGCATTTTGATCGCACTGTGTATGCCAGTAAGATGAGCAGCCACTGCACTCCAAAACTATAGCATTCAGATCTTCATTTTCATCAAAAGATATGTAACAGAAGAAAACATAGAAAAGATAAAATAAATAAATGAATAATGCAAACAAGTCCCTGGAGCACTTGAACACCCACATTGAGTAGCAGCTGAGCCTCCATCAGAGGGCTTTAAATGTGCCACATGATCAACTGATATGCGTTCTGCCTCTACAGTCTACAAACAAGATGAACTATTGTTTATGAACATTATGTGGATCATAGAGCACATTTTTTTCTCACAGAAGTATGGAGCATAAGTTTGAAAGCAACAGGACCAACCTCAATCGTGTAGTTTGATTTTACAAAGATCATCTGAGGTACACCATCTATGACATGTAACTCTGCAAAAGCAATAAACCATGAAAATCAAATAACATGATAATTAGAAGTCCAGGCAGCAGAACATTGAAACATGAATCATGTAGTCTCTACAGACATAGGAGATTAAATATGCTTGAAATCACCTATGCAGGACATAAATCATGCAGTCGATGATGTTTCCAGTTGACAGCGCATTAGAAAAAAAGACATTGCCTAGATCAATCCCAAAGAACATTCTCACTAGCAACCCCATCCCTTGAACCTAGTTTTCCCAGCCACATTCTCATTTTTTTCTCTGGCCTTCTCTTACAGTATTAAATCATTTGTACCAGCATGCAAGCCTTTTTTACAGTCAATAAAAGTTCGTAACCAAAAAAACAAAAAATGTGAACCTGAAGAATTTACTACCTTGCAAGGAAGAACAGAATAAGAAAAAGAAATACCAATAAAATAATAAAATATTGCACAAGACATCGTCCTTGACGTGGATAGCAAAAGCAATATAGTCAAATGAACAAGGATCGTAGCGTTTACAGCCACTATACCAGGCCTGCAGGCATTGTGAACTTTCAAATGCCCAAATATAAAAAATGTAATTAAGGAATAAATTATAGGTACGATCAGGGTCATTTAGAAATGCAAAAATATATTTGAAATTAGAATAAGGGGCATATGTCTTGGGAATTGTCACATAGATCTAAAGCAACCTCAAGTGATGCTTCCAAAATGTAGATAAATACATACACAAAGGCAGGTATTCGATACAACAGGAAAAAATTGACAACTTCAGCCATTTGATTGGTTACTAGTATTCACTAATAAGAGAAATAACTAGATGACCTCAATATCAGCAAAAATTAGGACATCTTTGCGATTCCCAAACGTGTGTTTATGATGGGTAAATCAAGCAGTGCCATATCACAAGAAAATCTATTATGTCGTGGGTTTTCATCCATACAAAAATATGCCAGAAACCAGAGGGCTTTCAAACATTAGGTTTATGAGAAAAAATATAGAAATCTAAAGTCAGCAGTGATAGTAGGCAAACTTGCAGGGAAACCCACATGTCATGCATATCTGCAAACTATGATGCAGGGATACTTCAAAATGGACCCCATATCCGTGTTGGACACTTAAAAACTGTATGGAAAAATCACAAATTATCCATGTCTTAACCATATCCATGCATTATAGTCTGCAAATAAGAGATAGTAGTTGAGCAATATTTTCCCTTTGATTCATTAAGGGGGAGTTTGATTGGTGGAAGACGCTGCTTCCATAGCCATCTCTTCCACCAACTGTAGCACTTACAGTGTTTGAAAATGGGAAGTGCTATGCTACTATTAGGGCTGGCAATGAGCCAGGCCTGGGCCAGGCTGGCTCTGGCCTGAGGCTGTAATAAGAAAACAAAGAGAAGTTAAAAAAGAAAAGAAAAAGGAAATTATAAGAAAAACAAATGAAGGAAAATATAGGAAAAACAAATGTAGGAAAATATAGGGCCAGGCCGGGGCCGGCCCTATCATGGCCCAGGGCCGGTCCCAGTCTTTGTGACCCAGACCAAACTTTTCAGGGCTGCACCAACAGAGCCGAGCCAAGACACCTGGCCCATTGCCAACCCTAGCCCATTGAAGCACCACTCCAGAAGCTGGTGGAAGATGCGGCTTTCTAAGTTGTGTCTTCCACCAATCAAGTATGCCCTAAGGACATCATGATGTACTTGGTAAGTGATATTAAAGAAAATGAAACTACAGAGTACATGAGAACATACCGCAGATAAAAAACTTGAACTCAACTAGACATTGATAGAGTCAGAAGTCAGAACAACTACACTGGAACATTAAATTTATTAAAAGAATAATATTTTTTACATTGTTTTTTAATATATAGTTTTAGAATTTTCATGTTAGATTAATGTATTTCTGATAGTGATTTGTGAATTTCGAGTTTGCTTATTTTGACAAAGGGTCAGATGGTTTGAACATCATGTGGTTTTTGTAAAGCAAAATGAGAAGGCAGAAAGCTGGAGTTCCCCTTCTCCATGACATTGAAGTCAGATTTGAACACAAGATTAAAATTAGACTTTAAGATATTCTATTGTGTGAAACACCACTCATTATTAAATATTAGAAACACATCCAATTCGTTGCAAAAAAACAAGAGATAGGACTTTATCAGGAAGCAACTTATTGGAAGAGAAGAAAAGAAAAATAGCCAGGACTTCGAAGGAAAGGAAGCAATCTTAATCGCCATCATGGACCAAATCAAAGCTTTAGCAATTTTTTGGGGCAAGGGATGCAAACATCTCTAGACCTTCACTGCGGCGGATTATGAGACAGATTGGCATGACATCTTATCCTTCAAACCAGCAAAACTCCAGAGATCTACCCTCTGGAGACCAACTGAGTCTGTGTGGATTAAGCTCAATATAGACAAGTGTTATCTAGGAAATCCAGGAAGAGTTGAATTGGGGGGTATCTACAAAAATGCCCATGACCACAACTCTGCTGTCTCAGGGATCAGCATTGACTCAACAATGGCTGAGACAATGGCACTGCCCAAAGGTTTAGAGAGATTTGACTCTGCCTGGGTAAACTCATTAATACAGGGACTCAGAATCCAACAACATCTTACTATTGTCCAGTAAACTAGCTGAAAGTGCGTGCAGAGGAGAACCTTTATAAGTCATCATCTTTTTGCAGGCTTCTACAGTTACCTTCAAGCACACATGGCAGAAGGCCAACACGATCATTGACTCTCTTGCCAAAGATGGTGTCACAGGTGGCAGTATAGGGCAGCTTGGATCGAAGTTAGCACCTTTTTTAGTGCTGCACCCTAGGGGAGACTACCACCACCATTTTGCAGTTGTGGACCAGTTTCTCCCACATTTTTGTCCTACTTACATGTACTTAACAGTGTTACATGGATACCACACACCTGTGACGGTATTTATTATGTGTTAGAGCATCTACCATGTGAAGTTAAATGTCAGTACTTCCTGACTCCGTAGAGCAAATATGTTAAACATTATGATCATATATATATTATAACTTCCTCTGTCTTCACACTTACCGCACAATGTCATGGTGGTAGAAGTGATGCTTTGGTTGAACAGCACCGCCTAAGACGTTGGGTGATCAAACCCAACCGACCAGCTTGTTTGTTATATTTCTATTTTAAATAAGTTTGGCTTACATATAAAATAATGTCTCCCTAATGCCATTAAATCAAAATGGCTTTTTGGTAGCACAATGGTGCTTGTCTAAGACATCCTAGGTTCAAGCCTTCCACTGGTAAGGGATGTTTTTCATATTTTTATTATTATAAAAAGGTCAAAATGAAATTTAAAAAAAAGTTTTCATCGATAGGATTTGAACTTGATGCCTTATTGGTTTCAACCACCATTCTACACCCAAAACCTCTAAGTTTATGTGTTAGAAATACCAGACAATTCTATAAAATTGTCGATATGTACTTCAAAATTGATGACATCATCAGACACATATAATCAAGTGTCCATGACGTGTCTGCCCATATCGAAATGTGTTGAAGCATTGATACGCGACACCAAAACTTTTCAAAGTGTCTAGGTAATGATGGTGTTTCCATATTGTATCTACGTGCATAATTATACATATATATGGTAGTCTACATTTCTCAAAAAGAAAAAAGAAGAAGAAGAAGAAGAAGAAGAAAAAAAACAACACATGTTCACAAAAAACTCAAAAAAAATCAGCAAATATGTCATATATTACAGAAAAGGAAGTCTATGAACAAATCCTGCTTTAAGAGGTGAATGACATACCACTCTCATAGATGGTTACTGGTAGATCCTTCTGGGCATGGTTGATGGTAGGATTCAGAAGGACATAAACTGGATTTTCGTTTATATCCATCAACTACAGAAAACAAATGAAAAGTTTATCAGCAGAAATAAAACAATTAAAGAAAGAGTTTATCAGCAGATATATTGGAGAAAGCAGCAACTAGGGAAGAATACACATCAGCAACAAAATGTTTATTGACAGATATATTGGTGGCAATTGGCTTGGATAAATATATCTATCATCCATCATTGCTGCCAGCGGTCCCATAGTTGCTCAAACAGAAAGGGATACAGGGACCTGAAAGGGAAACCCTGCCATGACCAATTATTTGGGAAAAAAGCTGGAATGGCATTGTTCAAAAGTGATACATTTTTGTATAGTGAAATTCATGATAACATTTTTATTTAGTTCAGAAAACATAGGATAACAAATACAAACGATATATGTTATGCATTGCTTGTAACTACAGGTGGACTTCACCCGGTGTTCAAAAACCAAGACTCGCTCAAGGACTCGTGGAGTGCTCAGAGCAAGTCAGCTCAGGGAGTCCCAAGTGCACTTGGCGAGTCCCGGTTGAGTTCCCCAACATGGGCTAAAAAATTTTCAAATAAATAACGAAAATAGGAAAACTAGTAAATATAACAAATTAAGAAAAATAATAACAATGAAATATGATGAAAGTTAAACCAAGCTCTTGAATTTTGAATATTTTTGGTGATATCTAAGATTTGGATTCCATGGACACCAAGAAATTGGACCAAGCGATGAATTTTCAGGGTACAAAAAGCTAGGGTTGTGAAAAACAAGCAGGAAAACAAGTTTGGCCAAATGCGATTTTGAAAAGAAAGAAACTCGTAAATCCAAGATTTTCATTTTTTTTTTTTTTTTGCTGAAATAAAGGATGGAGAAATACGCCTATGGCTGAATTTCAAGATATATCTGAGGGGAAAGAGGAGTCCGATTTCTGCCACCATCCACAGAGGAAAGGGGGGGGGGGGGGGGCGCTTCTTATCAAAACATTGTCGAGCTCAGTGAGTTTTTGTGGATTTGCATGAATTCACCCAAGTTACTATATTGGCTCAAGCAAGCAGTGCAACTACATAGGGCCTCAATGTGCTGGAGGCCTTCAGGACTCAACAAGTTGCCGAGTCTGAGTAACTTGGCTCAAACTCGGTGCATGTTTTTTTGTGTAAAGAATGCAAACTGAACTAGTTTTTAAACACTAACTTCACCCGTCAGCTTCAAAGTGGATGACTAAGATATTGTGGAGTAGGGATATGAATTTGCACTTTTTATAGTTGGCCAGTGTAACCATCAAAACCAATATATTTACTAGAAATTGGTGATAGAATTTTTCAATGCCCATGCTTTATATGGAAACTCATGAGCATTGGCAAGAAGATTGATTGCCTATTGGGGTGCCTTAAGAAGTATTTATTTATCCTAGGTGGAGGTTTTGGCAAGTGATTGCGGAAGTGGGAGTTAATAGTTCATTTTTGGCTAACCATATCCCAAAAGGAGGAGCGATAAATACTCAACCACCCCACTTTGGGAGTCATACGTCCAAGCTTAATCACTTCATCCAAGATCCTTTGGTCAACCATGCAACATAAGGTACCAGTGTTTCAAACATTGGAATCACCCTAGGACTCAACCACTGCCCAGGGCAAGTTGGCACGAAAACTCTTAAGTCTGACTTGTCTTGTCTGTATAAAACCAATGCAATATTCACTAGCATTTCTGAAGACAAACAGACTCAGTAGCCTTGGCTCGGTATGGATCATCTCATCCAAAACCGGCAGGTGCTGGTTCCAAGTAGCTTGAGAGAGTCTGATGTGGACTCACTGAGTTTTAAACACGGTATGGTACAAAACCACCTCCAAGGATGTGAATGCGTGACCCAAATATTTGCTCCTCATTGATGCAGGTAGAATTTCGCAGGGAAAAAATCCAATAATTTATTAATTAGAAAATAAAGAGGAAGCTAACAAGCCTATCTTCAATGGCTCTACAGAAGTCACAAGAATTCAATGAAACAATGTGATGCTGGGAAAACGGTCCAGTTAACTAGACAGAGAGAGAGAAAAACATGAGAGGAAGAGAGAGAAACTCATAGTGGGACAAGCTCTACAACTGAGATTTGATAATTCAAATTTCATAGGTTTCAATTCAAGGTTACATGCTCAAAAAAAGGCACAGCCCACCCCCTTTTATGCTTGCTTTCACCATGGTCAACACTCTTTAAAGTCACACAATTCTCATTAGAAAAACTAAAACTTCCTGAGAGACTATTAATCATCCTATATATTCCAAGCCTACCACAACTTGCAAACACAAAAGAACCAATACATTAACTCTCTTTGTTTTTTGTAAATAATAATTACCATAGAAAATACAAAACATAATAAAGACACTTGGGAATAAAAAAATTCATGGCAAATGACACTTTGGAACCCAAACTGCCACGTCAATAGTCCAAGTTACTCAAAGTCTCAAACCATTCTACATGGCAATGTGAGGCGCATGGTGGCCTACATCAATCTCATCAGGTTCGAAAGAACTCGCCCAGGAGTTTCATTGGCAACAATCCCAGTCAAGTCTTGCATATTAAATGTGGGACGCGAACGGAAATGAGGGGGCAACTCAAGGGTGTAGGCGTTGTCATTGATCCTCTTCAAGATGGATCGGGGCCCGCTTTCTTTTATTTGAGCTTGTTATAGGTCCCCATTAGAAACCTCTACTTTTTGAGATAGGCCAAGACAAGGTCTCCTTCTTTGAAAACGTGTTTATGTCGATAAACGTCTGCCATTTCTTTCCAACTTTTTTACGGGCTTCTTCTTGGAGCTTCACCATACTTTCAGTGAGGTTTTGGGCAGCTTCGTTTGATGGGGCTGAACTAGTCGGAAGAAGGTCGAGGTAGTGGGTAGGGACTTGCCAATAGACTACCTTAAAAGGAGTCCTGTCCATCGAACAATTCACCATAGAGCTGTAGGAAAACTCGGCCTAGGGCAGCAGGAATCCCATTGTTTTGGCCTCTTTCCAACGAACTCCGGAGAAGATTGCCAAGGGTCCAGTTCACCACTTCCGTTTGCCCATCCATATGAGGATGATAGGCAGTACTATAGTGCAAATAAGTCCCCAGCCTCCTCCACAAGGCTCTATGTGATTGTTTTTGGGATGCCATGGTGCTCAACCACTTCATAAAAATAGAGATTAGCAATGTAAGAGGCATCCAGTAGTTTTCTTGCATGAAAAAATACGCCTACTTAGAGAGTCAATTAACAACCATAAAAATGGCATCCATGCCTCAATTGGTCCTTGGCAATCTGAAGACCAAATTCATAGTAATATCTTGTCAAGGAGATTTAGGCAGGGAGGGGAGTGTATGGATCTAAGGTGTGGGCGTGTCCTTTGAAAACCTGGCATGTTTGACAACACCACACGAAGTGGTTTACATCTTGATTGATTTTAGGCCATTAACATTTCTCCTCTACCAAGGCAACAGTCTTATCATGCCAAAATATCCCCCTGCATGGAGTTCATTGATGAGGCCTTCTTAAAGGGAGCTCTTAGGGATGCAAAGTCGAGCCCCTGTAAAAAGGAACCCATCTTGAGTCACATATTTCCCCCTACTCCTACTTTGCATGCTCTCCATACTTCCCCAAAGTCAGGATCATTAGGATACAATTCTTCCATGTTCTCAAAGCCAAGGATATGGATCCCCATGGGTTCAAAGAGACTAACACGCTGGCTAAGCAAATTGGTGAAGGTGCCTGCTTAAGACTTCCTTGGTTGTTGTGTGCTTTAGGGCTTCATGATCTGAGTTCAAAATGAACTCCTTTAGATGATATAGTGCCGCAAATGCCAAAGGGCCTGCACTATTGCATAGAACTTGTGGTCCTAGATGTGTAATTTCTCCTTGCATCATTGAGTTTTTCATTAAAAAGGTAATTGGGTGCCCATTTTGGCTAAGCACACCAATGATGCCCACATGCAATGCATCGTAATTGAGCTCAAACACTTTCGCAAGGTTGGGCAATGCAAGTATGGAGGTTGTTAAGAGCTTTTCTTTGATTTGCTCAGAGCTCTTGTTGGCCGTTGGTGTCCAATGGAACTTGCCTTGCTTTGTGCACTGGAATTTTTTATGACAGCGCAATGGTGCTGAAATTTTTGATGGACCCGGGATAAAAATAGGCCAGTCCATGGAAACTCCACACCTCATGGACATTCCAGGGCGCTGGCCATGCTTGTATAGTTACTTTGTCCTCATCCACCTCAAAACCTGAAGAAGTCAAAACAAAGCCTAGAAAAACTAGAGAATCCGTCATAAAAGCACACTTTTGAGGTGAATATAAAGTTTTTCACTCCCACTTGTGAATAGTGCTGCCCCTAAAATGATTTACATGTTCACTTTGGTTTTGGCTGTACACAAGAACGTCATCAAAATAAATACACAAGAATGTCATCAAAATAAACAATAACAAACTAGCCAAAAAAAGTCATAGGGCTTGGTTCATTACCCTCATAAATGTGCTTGGCACATTGGTAAGGCCAAAGTGAATGACAAGCCACTCGAATAAGCCTTCAGGATTTTTAAACGTTGTTTTCCACTTGTCTCCCAGTTTAATTTGGATTTGATGATTTCCGCTTCTTAGAGCAATTTTAGAGAACACTTGGGCTCCCCCCAACATAACCTAGCATATCATCGAGCCTAGGGATGGAAGACTGATACTTGAAGGTGATGCAGTTGATGGCACAGTTGTCAATGGACATCCTCCATCTACCATCTTTCTTCTATGTTAATAGAGCGGGCACCGTACACAGACCCATGATTTGGCGGATGAACCCCTTTTGAGCAGGTTCATAACCTGCCAATGGAGCTCGTCATACTCTCTTGGCTCATATGGTAGTGAGGTTTATTCAACAAGCTAGATCCCGGAATCAAATCAATATGGTGTTGGATATCCCTTAGTGGAGGTAGTCCATTAGGAAGATCATCCGGGAGACATATTTAAACTCCTCAAGAAGGCGTACCAACTCACTTGGCACACTTGTGGGCTCAACCTCCTTTT